TTGTCTCGCTGATACAGGTGTGTGCTGCTCATTAGCATTACTGGGAGTTAAGGAGCTGTGGTTACAAGGAAGCATTTGTATTTTCTACCTTATGCCAGGATACTGGAGAAGTGGGGGAAAATTCTGTCAAAGAGGATGCCAAGCTATAGTTCTGTTAACTTCAAGTAGATATTCACAGTCTGTTACATATTTAAACACTAAAAAGCAAGCTTGCATTTGTAGAAAAATTATTAAATCAGGCTTTGTTTTGGAAACCTGCCATTTATCAGAGAAAAACTGCACAGTGATGGGTCCTGCATCATAGCACTTAGTAAACTTCAACAGGAGAAACAGAAAGCATCTACCACTCAATTTGTTGCAGTAGGATGTTTATTCCCTGGCAACATCTTTTTTGGCAAGATAACAGCATCTTGCAACATCTTGCCATTGCAAGATAACAGCAAAACATGAGAACCACCAAAGACCCACATGGTCAGGTTACAGCTGCCCCAGCTAGAGAGAGAGGCACATTGGTTGCCCAAGGGAAGAGGGATGCCCAAGGGGAATTGGAGATGCATGTGCGACTGCACGGCCATGATCTCACTGCAGTTACTGAGACATGGTGGGACAGCTCTCATGACTGGAATGTGGCCATGGATGGCTTTAGGCTTTTCAGGAAGGACAGACCAGGAAGATGAGGTGGCAGAGTTGCTCTTTATGTGAGAGAGCAACTGGAATGTATGAAGCAGAGGAGGACAAAGCGCGGATCGAGAGCCTGTGGGTGAGGATTAAAGGGCAGGCCCACAGGGTTGAGACTGTGATCTCCCAGTGTGGTGGGAGGCCTCCTGACCAGGAAAGGACATGCATGAGACCTTCTACAGGCAGTTCAAGAAGCCTCAGAATGCCAGACTCGGGTCCTTATGAGGAACTTCAACCACCCTGATGCCTGCTGGGATAAGTACCCAGCTAGGAACTGGCAGTCCAGGAGGTTCCTGCAGAACATTGCAGATAACTTCTTGATGCAGGTGGTAGATGAGCCAACAAGGGGAGGGGCACTGCTGAATCTGATACCAACAAACAGAGATGGTCCAGTGGGAAATGGGAAGGTTGGGGGAAGTCTTGGCTGCAGTAACCCTGAGATGTTGGAATTCACGATTCTGCGAGGAGGAAGCTGGGCAAAAAGTAGGATTGCAGCCCTGGACTTCAAGAGAGCTTGAACCTTTGACCTCTTCAGAGACCTCCTAGGAGGAATCCCCTGGGCCACAGTCCTAGAAGGACAGGACAGGACTCCAGGAGAGTTGGCTAATATTCAAGCACCAATTTCTCCAAGCTCAGGATTGGTACATTCCTACAAGAATGAAGTGGAGCAAGGTGGGCAGGAGACCTGTGTGGATGGACAAGGAGCTGTTGGGTAAACTTGATGAGAAAAAGAGTATGTAGAATAATGTGGAAGAAGGGTCAGGCCACCTGAGAAGAATATAGGAACATTGTGAGAGAATGCAGGGATGCAACAAGGAAGGCCAAGGCCCGTTTGGAATTAGAGTTAGCAAGAGATGTCAGGGACAGCGGGAAGGGCTTCCACAAATACATGAGCTGTGAGAGGAAGCCTAGGGAAAATGTGGGTCCTCTGCTGAACGGGGAGGGTGCCTTGGTGACAGAGGATGCAGCGAAGGCAGAGTTACTAGATGTTCCTAGTTACTAGTCTTTACTGCTAAGGCCAGTCCCCATAAACTACAGAGCCTGGAGGCAAGAGGGAGAACCAGGAGAGAGGAAGACTTCCTGCTGGTCAAAGAGATTGCGTTAGAGATTATTTAGGCAAAGTGGACACCCATAAACCTAGGGGCCCAGATGGGATGCACCCAAGAGTGCTGAGGGACCTGGCGGCGGTTATTGCTCAGCCCCTCTCCATCGTCTTCAAGAGGCCGTGGAGAGCCAGGGAGGTGCTGGAGGACTGGAAGAAACCAATGTGTCACTTTGGTCTTCAAAAAGGGCAAGAGCGAGGAACCAGGAAACTACAGGCCGGTCAGCCTCACCTCCGTTCCTGGGAAGGTGACGGAGCAGCTCATCCTAGAGACCATATCCAGGTATGTCAAGGAAAAGAAGGTGATAAGGAGTAGTCAGCCCGGATTCACCAAGGGCAAGTCATGTTTGACCAACCTGATAGCCTTCTACGATGGGATAACTGGCTGGATGAATGAGAGGAGAGCCATGGATGTTGTCTGCCTTGACTGAAGGAAGGCTTTCAACACTCTCTCCCATAACATCCTTATGGGGAAGCTGAGGAAGTATGGGTTAGATGAATGGACAGTGAGTTGGACTGAAAACTGTCTGGATGGCAGAGCTCAGAGGGTCACGATATATGGAGCCGAGTAATATGGAGCTACAGATTAGGGGTTCACCTGCTGGAAAGCAGCTTCATCTGTGGAAAGAGATTTGGAAGTCCTGGTTGACAACAAGTTAACCATGAGTCAGCAGTGTGCCGTGGTGGCCAAGAAGGCCAATGGGATCCTGGCCTGCATCAGAAGGAGCGTTGCAAGCAGGTCAAGGGGGAGGCTCTGCCCCTCTCCTCAGCTCTGGTGAGGCTGCACCTGGAGTACTGGGTGCAGGTCTGGGCTCCACAGTATCAGAGGGACAAGGAACTTCTAGAGAGGGTCTAGCATGGAGGGATAAAGATGATTTAAGGGCTGGAGCATCTATCTTGTGAGGAAAGACTAAGCGGGCTGGGCCTGGTTAGCCTGGATAAGAGAATATTAAGAGGGGATCTTATCAACATGCATGAATACTTGAGGGAAGGATGTAAAGAGGATGGGGCCAAAATCTTCTCAGTAGTGACCAGTGACAAGTAATAGGTATAAATTAAAACACAGGAAGTTTAATCTCCATCTGAGGAAGAACTTCTTTACTGTGAGGGTGACAGAGCCCTGGAACAGGCTGCCCAGAGAGGCTG